CAAAAGGAGGGGGTGGCATCACCAAAAAGATTTGTGTACTCCATTTCAGGGAAGAAACATTGGATTCTTAAACATTCTAGAAGCAAGTTCCAAGAAGGAAACAAAGAACTGACTCAAAGATTTTTATCTTATGTTGATGAATCTGCATACTCATTACATAAATCTACCTGTGCATTAAATTTATCATCATAATAAATATGAAATGCAATGGCAGAAGTGACTGCAGCAAGCATATGTTGGCTTAGTGCCTTTAATGGAAGAGAGGATTCCTAAGGTTTGGGAGAGGGGGTTTTTTTGTTTGTTTTTTTGATTAAGCCAGCACATGATATAAAACTAAGAGAAAACAAATTTGTAAAAGCCCTGGCAAGCCTATTCTAGACTTCTCAAGCAGTGAAAAAAGAGGAAGATGGATGGGAAGATGATGTGTTCATTAATGTAAATTATAATGTGAAAAACGACCTTATGACCAGAGATAAGTAATGGGAATATCTTGAATTCTAACAAAGGTAATACATGAACTGAAAGCAGATAGGATTGCATTACTATACAGTGTTAAAATCTCTTGTGATGGTGAATGCTGTCGTTTGGAAGAAACTTTGAAGCATAAACGTTAATGGCTGAATTTTATTTTATATGCAACTTTTGTCTAGCTGCTCCTTGAGAATGTTCATACACACAGAGAGATCATTTAAACATCTTTTCTTTGATGCATTTGCTTTCTGAAACAGTTTATTACATGTATCTGCTAAGCTTTTGTATTTACTGAGTTACAGCTTTCCTTTTGATTACAATTGTTGCGCTGATTGCAACACAGCCTTCATTTGTTCTAAAATGTATTTGTCCCTTATGAAAACATCACACAATCCCATCTAAAAGAGAGGGGGGAAAATGGTTTTTAAAAAAGCAAGAATCAATAGTCACACGTACAATAACTACCAAGGCTTCAAAACAAAGGGGATAACAACTGAATACAGAATCCAATCCAATCCAATCAAAATTCCAGGCACCACATTTTTGGAAGGACATTGACAAACTGGAGCATATCCAGAGGATATCAGTCAAGATGACAAGGGGTCTAGAAGGAAAAACGTGAGGAACGATCGGAGGCATTGTGTATGTTTAACCTGGAAAAGATATGAGAACTGTCTCCAAATATATGAAGTGTTGTCATGTAGAAAACAAAGCAGAATTGTTGCAGAAGACAGGACAAAAAGCAATGAGTTTAAATCATAAGAGAGTAGATTCTAGTGAGACATCAGGAAATTTTCCTATTGGTAAGAATTGTTCAATAATGGCAAAGACTGGTTTGACAAGTGGTGGACTCTCCTTTGCTTGGGGGCATTTAAACAGAGTGGATAGTCATCTATTGGGGATGCTGCAGCAGTGGATTCCTGCACTGACAAGGGGTTGATGGAGTAGATGATCTCCAAGGTACATTTCAACTGTTATATTCTATGACTCCGTAAGCCAGGCATGTTGTGTTTTACAAAAGACCCATGCTTTCATTACATGGTGGAACAGACCTGGCATGAGAAAACTGGCTATTCAGACAGCTGTCAGGATCCCCAACCTGACAAAGTTCATGAGAGCAATCACTATTCCTGCCATTAGCAGCATTCCACATTTTCATGGGTGCAGAAGCAACATAATGCATCTAATTCAGTACTGTCTTGTTTACAGTTTTGTTTAGCTCTTTGTCGCTTCCCGTTACCATCTGCTAATGGGGCCAACAAATTGTTCATTTGCTAAAAATGTTAAGTGGGCCCAACAGATGCACTGCTTCCTGCAGCTGTCTCTTCACCAAGGCTCTTCTGATTTTTGGTGGGAGTAACAGCATCTTTTCAGCTTTTTCAATAACCAAAATCACGGGCAAGCTTATGACAAGCTTCTGTTATTTGGGATCCAGCATGGTTTAACAGCCACAAAAGGGCCTTGGTGAAGCTTAGTGGTGACTATGGGTCGCCTGTCTCCCACCCTACCATATCTTGCCATTTTGTTTTGTTTCTGTGAGCTTCAAATGGAATTAATCACATGAATTAATCCCTAATGCCTTTGTCAAAAGTAACCATGGAAAAGTGTTTCGGGAACACAAAGAAGACAAGACTTGTCTAAAATAGGCAATCTAAGTACTAACTAACTAACTAACTATCTATCTATCTATCTATCTATCTATCTATCTATCTATCTAT